ATGAAAGTTTTTCATAAATAAAGTGTTTAATTATATAGCATAGAAATTAATTTGATTTATACAAAGTAGGAAAAAAATAGCAAAAACTTATCATCCATCTTTTCTCAATGATGATAATATAAAACTGATATGCAGTCAATAAAAATAAGATATAGAAAAAGATGAGAAATCAATTGAATATAAATAAATAGTAAGAACACATATAATATTTATTGCAGTGTATAAAATTGATATTTATTACTATATGCTACGAGACTAGATCCTATAATAAGCATATGCATCAGAATGCTTATCAAAACAAACACTTAAATCCGAAGATGCATGGTTCAAACACACAAAACGATTTTTGAGCTACAAATTAACACTTCGAAACGAAGAAGATCAGTAAATCACAATAAGTAGAAAACAGGGGATGAAGAAGGAAACACACACAACGACCTTTGCTTGTCAAATTCAAACTAAAGTAAAATCATTCATATCCACTTTAAAAATAAAAGATAAATATAACACACAATAATATTAATTTAATATATAAAAAATAATTAAATTAATAATTAAGTCTGTGCAACGCGCGGATAAAAATCTAGTTAATAATATTAGAATCGGGCAAAATTATTAATTTATAAATTTTAATAGTAATTGATTATAAGTTTTGAAAGTAGACAAAATTATTGATTTATCGAATATTCACTTATATAATTTCTATTGTATTATTATTTTCAAGTTCGAGATTTAAGTCTCTCTGCTCTGCATGCACCCATATTTAAATCTAACGTAGCCAAGAAAAAAAAAAAGAGATGTATATTTTTCTTATTCATTTGCGTATTTTAATATCATAATTTTGTTTTTATTTAATTTCTTTTTTTGGTTAGAAAGCCAAGCAGATGAAAGTCTTTTTTTAGTTGTGTTAATCATTTTATATTATTATATTTACTATATTGAACTATAGAGGTTTTAATACCTTAATTTTTGGAAAGCCTTAGGAAGCGCTACTAAACCAAAAACCATTAGTCAGTAATAAAAACCCAACAAAACTAATTTAATGCAAAAAAAGTATCAAAAAAAAAAAGGAAAAACAATATTATTTTTACATTTCCACCAAATCTTCTATGATCCCAAAGATTTTCCCTCTTTTGATAGTGGACGGATCTTTGCTTAACTTCGTCAAACAAGATACAGCATCACTATCTTAATATATAAATGCATGCGCGTGTGCATGTTAATACAATATTTTACATTTTCTAGATAGTTTATATTGTAGTGTATTTTATAAATACAAGAAGATTATACTCTGATATAAATATGCATTCTCAATCGTAACAAGTATAGGTGTATCACTTCTCCCGTTCTCCGAATCTGACGACAACTAGGAACCGATTTGCTATTGCTTGCGTTACGGAAAAGTTGAACAAAAGATTATTCCTTCTTGCTATAATGAAACAAAAGATTATTCCTTTAATATTTGTTTGCGTCATTTGTACAAAAATCCAATTCTCTATTGGAGTGTATCTAAAATTATGACGATATATATATATATATTTTTTTTTTACTTGTCAGTTTAAAAAAACACATCACTTGGAGTGTATCTAAAATTATGACGATATATGTTTTTTTTTTTTTTTACTTGTCAGTTTAAAAAAACACATCACTTGATTTCGTCTAGAACTATTCGGACATGACATTCACTATCAAAAATTAATTACGAATTATACCAATAGCAATTTTCCCACGATAATAGATATACATATATAATTTCGTACGTGGCTAGTATATAATAATCATGTGGAGTAGTAGAGCATAATTAAGTACCAACATATACATAATACATTATATGTTATATTGTTATTATCATCATTTCTATTTATTGTATATTATTTGAATTAGAATTTAGAAAGCAAACACGAATGTGAAAAAACAATCATGATTCCTAGACATAAATCTAAACTATTATTTGAAAAGCATGTTTAATGAAAAAATATGATGTAACATTTTAGTAAAAGTTAGTGCAAAACAATGCCACCTTACAAATGTGACATGACAAATTTTTTAAAATAAACGAAATATTTTGATTATTTAAGTTAAAAACTAAATAAGTCCTATTTTTAAATTAGAAAAGTTTATATCATATATAAATAAATTCTTATTATACAGCAAGAATTTAAAATTATAAATAAAACAAAAAAATAAACAGATAGAAAATAAATTATAAGTATCATGTTAGCTAACTTTTTTTATTATAATACTGTATATATGAATAAAAAGTAGATTTAAAAGTAAAAATTAATTTTTACGACTTTGGTTTTATGTAAAAATCTCAGCTTACCTTTATTTTAATTTAGAGGAAAAAATATAAAAATACATTGGAAATTGTCTAATGTTTAATATATTATTAAATGTTAAGAAAAAAAGTATGAGTCAAAGAAGACAAAAAACAAATAAGAAATTTTTTGATTGATTTTAAGTTTATATTTTAAATATTTAAAAATATTATCTTACACATCTTAATTTTTTAATGCATAGATTTTTTTGACATATTAAAACATTATTTCAGGAATTAAGTTTTGTATATGTTATGATCCATTATATTTTATATTAACAAATATATTAAAGTTAGGAACAAATCAACTCTTAATTTTTAATAACAATCAGATATTAAATATATTATTTTACACCTTAAATCATACACATATAAGTTTAGATCTGATTGGTTTAAACGATTCAGTTACAGAGAGTTTGTGAAAGCGAGAGATTGCGGATTATAAAAAATTTGACGAGGAGATGAGCGGAAAGCTACCAGAGAATTTTATAAAATATGATTTCACAAATTTATGATAATTTTTTATTGAGGAACCATATATCATCAAACGCTGAAAAATAAAAAAACTTTGATTAAATACAAATGATAGAAACAGTTTTCGTGATTGTTGTTAAACATCAATAATTGTATCGTGTAAAAACATAATGCTTGCGGAAAATATCAGAAAAAACTTACCAAAACCTAAATATTACAATTCACTTATTTCTAACTCATACATACATGCATAAATATACGTATTATTTTTTTTTTAAAAAACAATCAACCATACATTATAAAAATATATATTACAAATCATATACTTTGTTATTTTTTTTAACACATAAAAGCTATATTTCGATTTTCTTACAAATATGCATGTAGATATATATATATATATATATTAATCATGCAAAAGTCAAACTTGAATGCAAACTTGTCGTGCATACATATTGTTAACCTCGATTATACTCTAATTTTAATTTTAGTTATTAGACAATTTATATTTTTTTAAATCGTTATTTGTGCATACCAACCATTCACCGCTCTTAGGATATATAAATATGGTAGAATTTATTTTGGTTTAATTAGCAATAGGCCAATGAAAAATGTATACTTAAAATATATATATTGGCAAGATTATATTATGTAAAGAGAAAAAGAAAGTATTATATAGATAATATTTAAAAAAATATTATAAAAATTAATTATTATTTAATATAACTTTTGCATTTGTAATTATATGTTACTGTAAATGCTAGGAAAAATAAAAAGTTTTCAAAAAACACAAAAGGATATGAAACGTTTATGTGATTGTTGTTGAACGCTAAAATTGTATATGTATAAAAACTTAACATTTACATAATGTATAAGAAAATTAATCAATACTTAAATTACAACTAATTACTTTTATAAAAAAAATTATACTTGCACATGTGTATACAGACCAAAAATAAAAATTAAATATATTATTATATATTTGAATGTTATCCCGTTTATTTAGTTATCATATTTACATTTTTATCCAAACAAATATTTTTTACTTTTACTTTTGAAATATATAATAATTTATATTTAATTTATTATTATTTTTTATTATCAAATATTTATTATTTTATTATTAATACATAATTAATCATATACAAATAAAATATCTTCAATACTATATTAATAACAATTGAAAATATAAAATGTTTTATAGCCTGCACACGGTGCATGCCGATCACCTAATTTTATTTAAAAGAAAATCATAAAAAAATTTTACTTAACTTGTTTTATCTTTTTCTGGTATTTCTGCTATGGCTAGGTAGCTCTTTCTACAAATGACACATAGTGATAGCACAACTATACAAAGAAATCAAACCTTAATGTTTCTTTTAACTAAGTAATTAACTTTCAACAATTTTAGCTTAATAAATAATCTCATGTGGGTGAATGTGAGACTACATCCATACCCTAAATGATATCAATAATTTTTGAGCGGATTTTTAATCAATTATTTCAAGGGTTACTTCTACGGTTCTACCACATTATATTAGCTAAAGTAATTGAGATAAAGAAGCAAGAATCAACCTTAGTCATTGTAAGTGCAATGGCTGCCACCAAACTTAACCAACCAAAATAAAAGATGAACTCCTTTTTCCCCTCCCAAATCATTCTTATTGTTTCTTTGATTATTATATTTATTGTTTTATGTTTCTTTATTATTTTAAGGCTTATCTAGATTGAACCCATCTTATATATATCATTATGACTTTTATTAATATTGAATTCTATCTTCACTTTCTAAGCCAATAAAGGTGATCGATGGACAATTGCTTTTGGCCATATGCCAGAAAGCTACTGATACTATTTGCAGTCTCAAAGAACATAACATGACCTTACACAAAGACAACAGTCGCGACCTTTTCATATCTTTCTGTATTTAGTTTATTACTAAGATTTTTGTATTCATACAACTACTCTTTATTGAATAAGTTAAAACATCAAATATATAAGCTTTAGCCTTAAAACACAATCATTTGGTAGATGGGTCAAAAAAAATATTATTTCCAAAACTCCTTTTTAGCCTATTTAGTGCAAGTTATTTTTTGAGATAATTAGTGTAGTATGTCTTGGCGTGTAGGAGTTTTAGGACCCTTGGTAATCTTCTCTATTATCTGAAGTCATTCTTTAGATATTTTTATTTGAACTCGATCAGGGTACAAGAAAACCAATATCATTGTATTACCACTAGAACACCATCTTTTGGGTATATTGCTAGAGTTTGGAAAAGTTCATCAATATCGTTTTTCTATCATATAAAAGCTTTTACTAACATGTTTATTTTCGAAAATTCTAAGAAACATAAGTTTCCCTCATACATATTTGTACAACACTTATTCCAATTAAAATCCCTCATGTAACTCAAAATTCACCAACCCCAAAATCTTCCTTTCAAAAATGTTTAGTCAACCAAATAACTCATTTAATCCCAAAATCTTCATGAATCCAATGGCTTCATAATCATTTGAACTCCATACTTAGGTTTTATAGTAAGCACAACGATTGGTGCATGTCTATAATTCTTTGATATGGTGAAGTTAAACTTCGAAATTAGCGTTGCTAATATTATTTTTGCTTCCATCATAGCAAATGATTGTCCGATGCAGTTTCTTGGACCGGCTGCAAATGGAATGAAATGTCGGCCAGGCGCGAATGGTCTGCCTCCAAAGCGTTCGGGGTTGAATTCATTTGCATCTTTACCCCATAAGTCTTCGCTGTGATGGATTGCAAGAACCGGTATCCATATTGATAAGCCTTTGGGAATAGTTAGATCACCTAGTTGTATATCTTCAAATGCCATCCTTGGTAGAAGAGTGGCTGGAGGGTAAAGTCTTAGCGACTCGTTTATCACTTTGTTTAACTGTTGAAAGAAGAAGAAAACACAAAATAGTTAGCAACATATTTTATTAGTTTATCTTGGAATCATATCTTGTGATCATGCGAAGTGCCTCTTGAAACATATTTTAGTTTGAGAATTGACTTTTCTTTTGAAAAAAAAATATCTATCAACGAAGCTGTCAAAATCTAATCATTAGTTAATATAGGTTTTAGATTTTTTGCATAATATTTTATGCAAAGCATGTCTTAGTGCTAATTATTAAAGAAATGAAATGTATCATTTGGCCATTTATTTATGCCTGAAAAATCCAAGTACCAGTCTCTCTATCTTATCAAATTTTAAAGCTAGCTTAAACAATTGTTAATCATATCTAATTTTATAATTAGTTCTAAGAAGAAAAATATGTGATTCTATGTACAACCAGTTACAAACGTGTAACGACTGATCCCTAAATGAAAAATCAATAAACCTATAAATTTTATACTATATGAGTTTTGGCTAAGATTGAAGATTAAGGATGAAAACAAAATTAAAAAGACATATATCAATAGGGCTCTGTGTCGACTTGATGACTATGTTATAAGCTTAGTTATGGAAGAAGCACTACGAAGTTAGTGCCTAGTGGCACTGCCTATACTGTGATAAATGATGATACCCCACCCGCACCAATCCATCATAAAGCTATAATTTTACGACTTCAAATAAAACACTTAGTTTCAATATTTTATAGTTATTAATTATATGGATCAAACAACAAATATCATCTTTTTATATGTATGAGTTAGTGGTCTTCGAGTCCTACTCAAAATCTAAACAATGTGGGTAAGAAAATGACTAAGTTTGATGCTAGTGGTCACTACAAACTAATTTATTAGTGGACTAAAACGTTCCATTTTTGAGGCGGATAATAATCATCTACACACCAATGTTTTTCTATTAGCAAATATCAATACTACGGATTGTGAATGGTAAGCAAAGCGAGCTAACTAGACTATCCTGTTTGATGCTACCATTCAAGGCTAATATAATTTATAACGATGAATCTAACCAAAGAGAAAGATTAATCTTAGGTCTAGGGTTCAAGTTCAATATGAGCTATAAATTGTATATGATGTGTCTAGGAATGAACAGTACGTACCGAGGTAAGCTTGGATAGTTGATCAACCGAGGGAAGACCGTCGCAGCCACATACCTCTCTGACCTCATCACGAACTTTTTCCTGCCACGTGGGGTTATCGGCGAGGAGCATCATTGTCCATGTGAGGAGCAATGCGGTAGTCTCATGACCAGCAAAGAAGAACGTTTTGCACTCATCCATTATCAACTGAAGATTGTTGTTGTCCTTATTATTGTTCTTGTGGCTATCCATTTCATTCAAGAGAAGGCCAAGAAGGTCATCACCGTGAGAACTGCTCCGGCCAATCTCAGCGCAATCTCGTCGGCTTTGTATGATCTCTATCAACAAACGCTCCACTTCCTTTTTAAGAGACTTTATCTCTCTGTTGTACTTACTCGGAACAAACCTAGATACAAACAAATATTTCATGTTAAGTCAACGTTTCACTGCACTTGATTAAGGTCAATTTTAAAGCAATAGTCATTTGAAAACATGATAGATCGTAAAAGGGTGGTAGATAGTAAATGCTGACGATTGTGCTAGACAGAGAAAAACAAATTGCTTGAAACCCGGGAATGACACACAAAGCACAAACTAAATTTCGAAATCTATAATCACAGTTTTCAAAATTTGGATGGTGGCACTAGATGAGGCAGACTAGACTAAAATTTTATCAGTTCATAATTTATTTATTTTTAAAATTACCACATAATATAAATTTCTGAATCAAACCAAAATTCTAGAACCCGAATCGAAATTTCTGAATTTGAACCCAAATTAATTATAAAATGTTCTGAATGAAATGAAATTTGTAAACTGAATTATCTGATTTTGAACCGAACCGAATCCAAACTTTATAAAACCAAACCAATTAACCGATACTCTACGATCTTAACTAAAATTACTTAACTAGTTGGTAAATTGAATCAAACTAAACTAAAATGTAATTTGATACCAAATTACGTCAAGAAACATTGTATTTGAGTGAGAACATAAACTAACCGGCTGCCTGGAAAACAGAGGTGGCGGGTGGCTTGAGCGCAACAGCGTTGGAGGACGGTGAGGTGGTTGAAAAGCTCTTTGCCTTTCTCAAAGCTACTTCCAAACTCCGTCCTCGATATAATATCCGCCGTGAGCTGATGCATCTCCTCCCCTATCTCAACCTCACCTCCTCCTCCTCCTCCAACTTCTTTTCTCAACCTTTCCACTAGCCTGCTCGTGCACTCCACCATGTGCCTTGCGTAGCCCTGCATCATGAGGGTATTTCAGTCATTCAACATTATAAGTTACTTTGCATTTATTCTTTCTTGCATGAGGTTAATTTTATTGACGTGCCTTGAGCCTTTCTCCGGTAAATGCCGGTGCAGCAAGGTGGCGTTGGTGGTGCCAATCTTGACCATTAGCCATAAGGAGACCACGACCTATAAAATTCTTAGTTCCTTGTTGCTGTAGCCACGATCTTCCACTTACGCCATTATGTTTCATCAGCAACTCCTTTATCAATTCCGTCTCCGTTAGGCAAAGCCTAGGATCAGTCCCGTTCCACACAATAAATCTCTTCCCTGTAGTTTCATCGAAAATATGTATAACGTTATATATTGTTTAATTTTACTCAAATCGTTTTAATGTAATCCTCCTCTAATCTTTTGTAAACAAGTTTATAGGCTAAACATTGACCCACAAATATATATGGTAAGGGTATTTCCGTCATTTTTCTCGTTCTATGTGACTTTTTATTGAAGAACCAACTTTGTAACAAATTCTATGTTTACTACACCATCAAAAACACAATTTGTTACAGTTCAAAACCTTACCGTATTGTTTCGACCAAGAGACGTAATGCGGGAGAAGGCGGCCAACGATGTCATGGTGAATAGAATCACAATCCTTAGAAACGGATTTTGAAACCATGGCCGAGATTTCGAGGATGTTTCCGGTTAACGGGCGTGGTTTAGGACCGGTTACGCCTTGCCGTGCCATGATCTTCTTGATTCGCCTAGGTGTTAGCCAGTAGCACGATATGGTGTCGTATAGGACTCTCAATATCAAAGTCACGAATATCACGATGAGAGATTTTAATAGTGTAAGCAACATTTTTTTGGCTTTTTCTTTTAATCACCAACAAAGATTTGAAGAGAAAAAGATCTTCAGAATGACAGAGAAAGAGAAAGATTGTGTGTATTTATAATGTTGGAACTGAGTATGGAGATACAATATATTTTATTTTGTTAAAAGTGACGAGATACAATATTTTCAAGTAGGGTAACTAAATCTAGATGTACTAATTATGGTTCTTTGTTGCTTATACATTTAAAGAAATGGAAGATATGGGAGAACTCAATAGTAAATTAATGGAATATTTGCAGATTTAGGCTCCTTTTTTTTTAATATGTGGTTTCCAACGTTAGCTAAAGTTCTATTAATAAATTTATTTTTAATTGACATTTACCATTTACTTCTCCAAATATTCATTAATAGCATTTTTATCTTTCTACCACAAAAATCATATTTTACATTTTCTTCTCTCTTCTCCTACGTCCATACCTTTGGAGATCAAATGCATCCTCTCGTCAATTATTGAATCACTCCGTTGTTGGAGATCAACTGCATCCTCTCGTCATCCACGATTGCTCTTTTCCTCGAAAATTACGCAGACTTCAACGGTGACGGAGAAGTCGATTCTGTAGACGACGACGGCAACGGTGACGGAGAAGTCGATTCTCATGTTTGTAGGATATAAGATTTATGAAGTTTTAAAAGGTTTTAAACATGAGATAGGATTTTAGTTCTCAAATTTATGGGTTATATATGAAATACACTGATATTGTAAATGAGGAAGACGAACGGTGTTTCTTCAGGGTAAACATGTTAAAATTTATCAAAGTTTACAGAAATCTATGATATTTTTAAGATAAACTTAAAAAAAAATTGAAGGGTTTATAGTTTAAATATTTGGATTTGCGTTTAATATTTAGGGTTTATGAATTGACAAATAAGATTGAATGATTTAGGTTTAGGAGTTTAGTTGGAATTATTTGTCTTTGCTGAAAATAGTGCATAGTGTGATTGATTTTAGATTGGTATTATTTGCACTGCTTCAATACCTATTCGAATTATCATAGATGAGTTTATTTGCATAACTTGTGAAAGCTTAATAATTGTGAAAAATAAATTAACAGATTGAATCATATATCATCACTACTTGTATATTATCTTGCATCAGCATACACATCATATATGTTGTAGATTGATAGATAAAGATATCATTGGGTATGAGAATATTGTTGATCATATATTAGAATGAATGTGAGTTTGAAAATCTCCATTGAATTTACCATCATAAAAATGCATGAATAGTTTAATCTATGACTCCTGAGAACTTACTAACAACCTAATGTTTTAATTAATTGGGTTTTTATTTACAAGTGATTTAAAGTCAAACATAAATCTGAATACAAAGTTATGATCAATCCGCGCCAGGCAAGGAAATGGAGCAAGTAGAAAGTTATACTTTTAATCGATCCAATGTCAACCGACCCAGCGTTTTGACTGATCGATCAGCTTTCTCATGGAGCCATCTAAGACCTTGAAACGATCTGCCAACCGACAATACATTTTCAACCGATAGGTTAGAACTTGTAGAAACATTTTAAAAAAACTCATTTTATGTTCATATTTCACCCAAATCTTATATGATTTGCCATAGCCAACTCCTGCACTTATAAAACACATAGAGTCCACGAAATGCAGCCAGAGAAGGATTCAATCCGTTTCCTGAAATCCAATAAAACATATACGTTAATCAGTAAAATCTATAAACAAAACACAATAAAGATTAATGAAACATAAACAAATAGTCATTCGATACACTTCTATGCATATCGTATTCATGTTTTTATTTTGCTAGCTTAGGTTCCAACTTCCAAGTTCCAACCAATAAAGAAAATTATGCATGTTGGGAAATTCATAGTTTAAGGCATTAACTACCCTCAGAGTTAACATAGTAAGATCACTAGAAGATTTAGGCTCCCAGAAACGCACCATCCAAATAATTAAGAAGAAGGCTACATAGACATCACACGAATGTGTCACCTCTTCATCCATAACAGAGGCAAACAGATTGTCTAGTTATGTATGACTCGCAAACAAAATTTCGATAAATTTCGTTCTTTAACTAGACATTTTGGTATTGTTACAGATTCAAACATTAGATAATAGTCGAAATTAAGACATGAATTGATTTCGTAAAGATTTAAGTAATCTCTTCTTTGTATTTTTCATTTTTTGTATAAATTTCTTACATATGCAATATCTTATGTATATTTTCGATGCCTAGAATTAAACGAATCAAGTCAATCAACAATGCTGCAAATTAGGCTTGGACATAAAAATCAGACTAAAAAAACAGAACCGATTTGAACCGAAGGTATTGAACCAAAACAAAATCAGTGTAAATATTCGAATGGAATCTAAAACAAATCGAGAGCTATATGGATATCCAAAATACAATTATATATATTAATTATATTTAGAAATAAATAACTAAAATTCTCAAAATTATAATTATAAATCAGTTATATCAGATTAAAATAATCATGATATCTAACTTTTTAATTAAATATCTACAAATTATTAAAAAGTTAACCAAATATATTAAAAAAGTAAAAATCTAATTTTTAAAAAAAATATTTTAGATAAATTTTGGATAATTTGGTATCCGGAGCAGATCCAGACCCGACTTGAACCCAACTTAACCCAACCCAAAATTATATCTGAATGTGACTCATAATTTAAAACAAAAATAACCAATAGCTAAAAAATCTGATCTAAACCCAAATTGGTTTCCGAATGTCCGGGCCTAATGCAAATTAAAGGTTGTAACTGATAATAACAAATTAGAATATAAAAAATAAACAGAATAAATTTATGTGGAATAGAAAAATATAGAATCAAATGAAAATGAAATTCCATTCATTCAATAATATTTTTGAAGTGGAACAAATTTTCAAAAATATTTGTTTATTACTTTATGGAATAAATGGAATGATTTTTCATTTTTTTATAACTAATAACAATTTTATGGAATTTTATAGAATCCTCAATTCCACATAATTTTATTTCTAATATTGCAATCTAGAGAATCCACTATCTATTTATATTTAAATAATTGTAGTAAATAAATGATGTAGATTATTATAAAAGAATAGTTCTTTTTAATAAAATCGTGTTACACACTGTTTAGTGTTTATAATTTGAATTCAAAATGAACAGTATCTACCATGATACCATCCACGTCTTAGCCAATCTCGTAAAATCAAGAATTATCTTGCTAGTATATATGAATAACAATTTTCTTCTGGAGATGAAATCAGGAAAAATGCGTGTATATTAAGATGTAATTAGATTCATTAACTTTTGTATTAGAAAGAAGATTTTGCCTCGAATAAGAAAAGAGTATTGATCTACTAAGATAATAATTTATGTATAGGGTAAAGATTGCGAATCTGAGAAATATTTATATGGACGTGAGTGAGAAACAAGATAACTATATTATATATCACAATTAATATAAACTCCAGCAAAACTAGCCATTGAGATCTTCATATGAAACCTTTGAACAAAAAAAAAGAAGAAGAGATCTTTCATATGCACAAATAAAAATTGTGATAAAAAAAATCGCCAGCGATTGTTTTCATATATTACATTATCACAGATTCATATTCTTAATGGAAATATAATATCGGAATAAGCTTGTCAATAGGTTTAACAAAACAACAAAAGCTTGGCAATATAGACTCGTTCTTTGATTCCCCCGTAGGTATCTGGTTCTTTGATTTACCATATATCACAAATCGACGATGATACTTCTACGAGAAAATATCACCAAGGAATAATAATATAAAGGGTTTGTGAAAATAACACCAAGGAATAATCATCCATCAAATCAATTTGACTTTGATACTGTTTTAGAAATCATGGCTATAACCTAAAAAAATGAAAACCAATTAACACAATATATATAGAAAGACTCATACCAATATATCATATACTTCGCTATCATATTGTAAACAAATTTCTCATAAATTTTTGATAAATATTTCATAAAATTGCTATAGATATGACTAAAGGGGGTGTATTAGATTAAGAATTTCAGAAGATTTGGTGGTTGTTTTAAAAATCTATGTTATTGAATTAATGATTTCTAAATGTCTCACTAAAATTGATGTTATTGAACATGAAATTTATGTAAAGTAACTAAAGTCATTTAAAAATCCATATTATTCAATCAATAATTTATAAAAACTAAATCAAATCCACTGTTATTAGAAATACTAGAAATTAATCCGCGCGTTGCGCGTATTTATTTGTTAATTCATATAATTATTATGTTTTTTATTTTATTTTATTTTATTTTATTATTTTAATTTTATATATTATTTTAGTTTTTAATTATCATAAATATGTAAACTTATTGTAAAATATTTTCTCTAATATAAATTGTGATATTTAATTTGTTTTTAAAAACTTTCACTTATAGTTATACGTTAACATAAGTATTTATATCTTCATATTAAATATTTTTATTTAACTAACTTATTTATGTAGTTTATTTCCAGCATAATCAGTAAAATGATTTCACAATCGATCACACACTCTTTTTTTTTTTTTTTGATTCGAAATAATTTTTTATTTTGTAGAGAATTTGTAGTTGTGTGATTTGTAGAATAAGTTTTCTTTTTTTACTTTTAAATTAATATTATGGGAAGACTCAATTTATTGTCTCTCTTCTGTATAATTTAAAGTCGTTCAGGTGTATATTTTTTTTTCATGAGAATATATACATTTTGTTTTTTTTACCGATAAGATTGTTGATAAGTTTTAATGTTTTGATCTGCGCGTTGTGCAAATTTATTTATTAGTTTAGTTTTAATTTTTTATATTATTATTATGTATATGTTTATTTCTTGTTTCAATATAGATTATTATGTATTATATTAATTATTAAAAAGTCTCTCGTATATTTATACGCTACAATAAGTGTTATATGCGTCCTAACTTATTAACTGTATTCAATTAGTTTTTGATTTTTTTTTACAGTTCATTTTCACTGAAAAGTAAAATCATTATCGACCATTCCCCACTCTAAACTAAATATTCTCTTAATTTTTTTTATCGGATTTTTTAAAAATCTAACTCATTTTTTATCATTCATTTTATTTTTTTTCCCTTTCCTAATATTCTGATTACAATCATTGATATTTTCTTTTATTTCATGCAAGCTTTCGTCTCATTTAATTTTGTGATTAGTTGTAACTCTAAATGAGGAGAATTGTAAGTAAAATTGGTGAGACAGAGCAAGAGATCTGTTCATATATTACATAAGTTTGATATGTTTTTATATATAAAAATTATGCTTACTTGAGAAAACTTTGATTTTAATTAATTTCAAACATTTGTCTATTTTGAAAAAAAATTCCGATGTGTTCATCCATCTGATAATGATGAACTATTTGACTATATTTTTGAATGTCTGTGAAAATATTCTTATCTATTTTCATGTCATGTGGAGATAAAAAACTTGACTCTGTTAGCAAATATAATCAATAATCTTGTTACAATTTATTTATATACTTCATATTAAAATTCATAAATTATCTGGTTGATGAGTAAACTCATCGAATATCAATTTTATATTGCCATCATTGAGAAAAAATGGTTGATGTATTTGCCATTTTTTTCTATTTCGTATCAATCAAACTTATTTCTATCCTATATAATTAAACATTTTAGTTTTTCATTTATAAAAAATATTTATTCATTTTACATAGTAAAGTAGATATGAATGATTTTTATTTATTTTATGCATTCATCTTTTTGAGATTTAAAAAAAAAATTTTGATAACTATTCTCTGCAAGTTCTTTTATCGTCTTTCGTAATTGTTTACCTTCCAACTCTTTTTCCTCTCTATTTATTTATATTCAAAATAACTCTTTTCATATTCTATTTATTTATATTCAAAATAACATTTTGAATTTTTTATTTAATAAAAAATTTATGTTTTATGATTTGTAAAATAAGTATTTATTTTATATGAATGATTTTGTTTTAGTTTTATACATAAATGTTTCTAAGGTTTTTTTATAAAATGTTTTGAGAATTATTTTCTGAAATTTATTCAGTTATCTTTTGTATGTGTTTGACTTTCAAATTCTTTTTCATAAACAAAAAACATAAGTTTGTAATTCTATGACTTGTACAAAGAAGTATTTGTTTTTAATTTCAAATTTATCATATTAAAAGCTCAAAAATAATAACTCAAAATATAAAAACTTAAAAACAAAACCCAAAATATTTAGAAGCCCATTTTGAAATAAAAATTATGCTGATGTGGACACCTTAGATGGAGAGAAGACTCTCTCATTATATATATGATTTTAAATAGTAGATTTTAAAAAATATTGAGTACTTTTAAATGATTTGGTGGAGTTTGATAGTTAAAAATATAGAAACTCAAATTCCATTGTTTTATGTGGGATTTAATATAATTTTAATATCAAATCATATCAAATTTTCTAATTTACATAATATCATCTAAAATTTCACTAAAACTCAAATCTTTTCAAATTTTCTAAAATTTTAGTTTCAATACACCTCCTAAGTAATTCGGTATTCTTATCCATATTTCTCATTAAATTGCTATAGATACTCTTTCATTTTTTTCTTTCTTTTTTTGGACAGCCACATTTCTATACAAAAGGTTTCTTCTTGGCCGTACATTCAAGTGTCCACATTTTTATATGTAATTGTGTACGGTCATGATTTGATTGATGTATAAAAAGTTCGATCCTGGACATCATTAAGGGACAACATAAACATTTTTTAATCTGATTTATAGATTATCGAAAAGCTATAAAAGATTCGGGACATGATTTGACAACACAAATTTTCATAAAAAGATTATGTTTCCTTTCAGAATGGATCACTCTTTACCTCAACATAAATCTTAACTTATGCTACAGTTTATAGGCATTGGAAATTTGGAATATACATTATACCAACGTTTAGACTTTAGACACTGACCAATACAAAAAGTCTGCTGATTAACCCACCGGTTTGTGTAAACCGGTTCTGTCTATCTCGATTCTACAGTGATGATCTTGACTTGGTTCAGCAAAGCAGACCAAGTAGACCCTAAACTAAAATTTAGCCAAAAACACAAAATGGAACTGAGTTAAACAACCTGGCTCAAGAGTTCTGCGTTGTGTCTTCATATGTTTAGATTTGTTTCTTTTCTTTATCCTTGGATCTGAAATGGCTCGACAAAATCCACTGTGTATAGTTGGTGTAAAGGGCAAATAGTATAAAGTATGAGAAACAGAGAATCATGATCAAAGCTTCGAATATGAAAGGGTACTTTTGAGGAGGTTGTATGGTGAGGTAAACGGCATGAAGAGCTAAGGAGATGAAGAAATGGGTTCTTAGTAAGGAAACATAACCAGGGAAGTTTGTAAAGGAGGACGATGAAGCTTTAGTTTTCTGTTTTGTATGATAGATGAAGGCAAAGAGCAAAGATAGTGTTAAGTAAGGAAGCAAGAGTTTGTCACGGCAAAGAAGAGGGAACATCGAGAAGAGAGCGTAATAGGTTAAATGGTTGAAATGGTTAGGGATTTTGAGAGCTAATAGTGTTGCTGAGAGAAAAGGCATCAGGATTGATTTCTCATGCACTGCAGATTCAAACACAATTAACAAAGAAAGACTGTCAAATACTAAAAGGGTATGGAGATTGAAGATCAAATATGAAATACAGTACATACCTTGGAAGGAAAATAAGTAGAAAGCCAATGAACTGTTGAGCAATCCATATAAGAAACCTTCATTGCTTGGTGATATGATTTGCTGAACCATTGAAGGAAGAGAAGCCAATATAGTTGCAGCCAAGCTTATAGACTTGAGGGATGGTGTTGTGAACAGTTTTTTCCATTTTATGAGTATGGAAGTGGTGCACCAGAAATTTGCCACGTAATCCTCGTATATCCCCCTCTCAAATGGAGCAAGGCGAGAGAGAACCTGCGTCATCAACAATTTGATTCACATAAATGAGAACGAAAACGAATGAAACCATTCAGCTATGTGCAATTGACATCAGAGGAGAAAAAGAGTACAAGAACCGCTTTAGATTAACAATGTTGTTTGTCTAAATATGTATTTACCATTAGGAAGTCGTCCAAAGAATGCAAATATGGCCACCAAACAATCACAAATGTCACTGTGACTGCAATTCCAAGCTTTAGCACAGAAAGTATTGGGTTTTTACGTCTTAGGCATTTACCAAGTAGATGACTGAAAAAGGCAGGAGCAAAATACGCACTCATCTGCAAACATTCGACAATGTAACACAGTGTGAGCAACATGTTATACACTAGAACAGGAATATGAAACTATGACGAGGTACATGCATAAACGAAGGGACATATTAACAATCCTTTAAGATTAACAATATTGTATGGGGACTATCTATGGCCATAAACATTACATTACGACCTAAAAATATTATAAATCTTAACGTCACGTATCTACCACAAGCTTGTACTCAGAATTCAGATTCGCCTAAGGAACTGAAACCATCTAGTTTTCAGTCTAGAAGGTTGAAAAGTAAATATCAAGAACCGGTCAAGATTACAATGTTATGTCTAAAACATTGCATGGAAATGCATATGATGGGTAATTTTTATGGCCATGACCACTACACTACGACCTAAAAAAATTAGAGATTTTGACGTCACGCTAGTAACCTGCATTTATACTCGTATTCGCAAAGGAACTAAAACCATTTAGTATTTAGTCTATGAGATTAGTAAAAGCCATTGCATGTTAGATCATCTACAAATAACAAGAACTAGCTTAAACTTACTATAGAGTAGAACAAACTATACCAAGACATTTAAAACATAAGAATAAAGGAATAAAACCCAAAAGGTACCTGTTTATGGCTGAGAGCAAGACTGAACAAAACACAAATGAGAACCTCGCTCTCACAGAGTACCGCAGCAATAGCACCCATTGTAAGTCCCAAGCTGATACAGTTGTACTAAAACAAACTACATTCTAATGAGAATCATCATACAACCAGAGATTATGCTACATGAACGCAATACCAATAGAGAGAACATGAACATTAACACAAACCTGAAAATGACCATGATCAATGAGAATCAAACAAGGGTTTAAGAGAATCATAGCAATATGCCATGCCACTTCACTCTTGGAGCTCCCAGTTCGATTCTTATGGTACACTAACACGAAAAAGAGAGCAGCCGGGAAGAATATGAGAAGATCAGACGATAGAACTGTCCATCTCATCAGTAATTTTCTGCACAAAAGAAACCAAATTTGAATCCAATTAGCTAATCTAAACACAAAACAATCAACAATTGAAGGAGAATATGGAAACACATAGCTAGATTCAACATTTGATCTCTGTGAAGATCAGATCAAGCATGATTTGACTTGTAGACCACCGCAATATGACTTTTTGAAGCTTACCCAAGATAAGACTCGTGACCATGAGAGGTGAGGAGAGAAACAGACTCAGGATTGAACATTCGGAGGAAAATTCCATGGATGTAACTCTGGTAAGCAGTTAAAGGAGGATAATCGAGTCCCCAGTAAGTGAGATCGTTGTAAGTGCCATTTCTGTACCAATCGATAGCAGGAAGATTTGTTGTTATCTCCATCCAATGTCTCTGAGCTTCGAAATCGCCGAATCTGGGTGGAGTTCCGGCGCCGGAGTAAGGGAACATCGAAACAGCAGATCGGATCAATAAAGCGAATAGGGAGATACAGAGAAAAGAAATGGTGGTTCCTTTATGTGATAGCCACCACCAAGTGTCGATCGATTCTCCGACTTGCGCTGATAACGGAGCGGCGATGTCATCGCCGGAAAGTTTCGCCGGTTTCTTCTTCGGCATCTTTGTTTTCCTTTTGGTATTTGGGAATTTGGAATGTTGAATAGAACCAAAATGCTCAATTCTATTCGGTTTGAAAGTCAAAATTGGTTTTTTCTTTCGCATCTGATTAAAAGGTGTTTATCCACGTTTAAGTGTTTAACCCCGATCGGTCAAGTTAAGCCCGGTCCAAAGAGATTTGGACTTGGTTTTTGGGGTTTATCTAGCAAGATAACCAAATTATCATTTGTTATCTAATTAAACAGATTATTCTTCTTAATTCGTAACTAGATTAATATCTATGTATACAGTACTTAAATATATAATAAATTAATTTAAAATTTATAAAAATAAATAAAAATAAAAAATAGAAAATATAATCAGAATATCCATTAAAATAAATTTAACTAATTAATAATCCTAAAATGAAACTACAAATAAAAATCTAACTTATTTGATTTATTTTTAATTTTTTATTTCATTTTTCCAGCTAAATTTTATCACAAATTTTTTAATATTTGAAGTTTTATAATTTTATTATATAATCGACGATGCAATTTCTATAATTTAATTAAAAATATGAAAAAAAGAATTGTCAACTAGAAAACTGATATTGTGTTTTTTAACACATTCTTACCCATGTTTTCAAAAGTTTTTTTAGTATTTTTTTATATTTTTAGTCTTTTCGAATTGATAGATAAAATTTAAAGTTTGAATAACAAAGAATAGAAGCAAAAGAGGAAGAAGTAAGTTTTTTACGGGAATAGATCAATTGGTCCAAGTTTGAATTGATCAATCCAAAAATGGCGAGCCAACAAAGGGATTTTAGATCAATCTTTCCGATTTGAATTGATATATCTAATAGTTGAGAAGCTGCCTAAGAGGTTTTAGATAAATAAGTCCAAATTGGACCAATTGGTCCGTTTAGCAAAGTTTTTCCAAAACATTTACATTTTAGATTGATCGATCGATCCAACTCTGAACCGATCAGTTCACTGACGCAAAAAAAAAAAAAAAAAAACTTCAGGTTTTCCTATTTCCATTTAGTTTTGGTAAAGGGATTTTGACCAGATTGTGTTTTGGCCTATATATTTTAGTTTTTAGCCATTGTTGAGCCTACTCTTTCTTTTATATTCAGACTTTGAGATTTTTGCAATATGTAAGTTTTGAGAAGATGATCTTTCTACTATACATCTCTGAGAAGATTTCAGAACCCCTACTGATTATTATTTTATTTGTTGTGAATTTCTCATCATCTCTTTGTTGTTTTTCTTCTTCCATGATTGAGTAACCTATTAATTATGTCTAGGGTTTCAAATGAATTATGAATGATTGAATCAGATATAGATAGGAATTTATTCATCTATTGTTGTGTTCATTGCTTAAACTGAATTGATCACTTAGTCTGTGACTTAGAGTTTAATCTATTCATCAAAAGTGTGATCAATTGCTTGATAAGAACATAGGTGAGCAGATTGTCCTTAACCAATAAAAACTGATGTTAAAGCAATTTGTAAACATTCAAACCTGCTCACTAATGTTTGTTTATAATTCTAAGTTCAAACGACAGTTTAGAATCTTAGGTTACTAGATAAAGTTTCTAATACCACAACAGTGGATTAGTTATACATTCACGTTTAAGTTCAAGATTAGGCTTATTTATTCCCTGAATAATTGTTTAGTTCATGATATATGATTCCTGCGAATTGCACTTGACCTAATACCTATTTTAATTGATATTTTTACCAATTTTATTTGCTATTTCCATTTTCCATTACAAACCACAAACAAAATCTTGTCTTAGTTTAGTTTCATTCAATAAGATTTGCAATGTGACTCTTCGTCCTTGTGAATTAGATCACTACTATTACTACAACATTTGATGTGCACTTGCAGTAGTTCTTTAGGGCTAAAACTTTTTGTATCAAAAACAAATAACCCCTTTTTAGCGACTATATGCCCTCATAAGGAGGGAATCAAACCGTCTATTTCGGCCACAAAGATAAAGAAAGATAAACTTGCATCCCCTTCAATCAATTTGGGATGCCCTCGATCTAACATATTTTTTGAAAGAACGTAGAATAATAAAATAAAAAAGAAAAGTAAGAATTTTTTATCCCATTCTGATAATATTTTTATATAATATTTAAATTGAATTATATGTAATGATCAATAAATTCAGTTTAATTTGCTATCTAGAGGTAATTCTTATTGGTCAATAAATATATATTAAATGCTAGTTCTAACATATAAAAAATGCTTTTTTTGCTTTTTTGCTTTTTTTCTTTTAAAATATTTGATCTAATTTATTTTTTTATTAATTTTATTATTTACTCTGTTATTTTTAACATTTTATTTTTATTATTAGTAGTTGATCACGCAATTTTATTTATCTAAATGGAAAACATAAAAAATGTTTCTTTGTTTATTTTTTTAAATTTTATTTTTAGATTTATGTTAATTGATTGATTTTTTTACATGTATTAAAATCTTAATTAAAAAAGTGACATATATCATAACATCATCTTTTACGCATCAAAACTAGGTATATAACTCGCGCTACACGCAAGTCTGTATTTTTTGGTTTATTTTTTTGAGTTACTATCTTTAAAATTATTAAAAATTATATATATTTATAGAAATTTCCATTTATATAAGATAATTTAATATATAATGTGTAATTTATCCTATTTTTATTTATAAAAAAAAACTATTAGGTAAAATAATAACAATGACACCTATCAAATTATCCAACTTTGACGTACATATACATTTGATTTAGAGAAATATAATCTTGCTAACATTTTGGTATTATTTTCTGTTTTCCATAAAATTTCTATAGTTTTTTTTTTCTTGAAGGTATATGTGTTTAAATATTTAGTTTTTTTTATTGAAAGTCTTATTGATGTTGTGTACCACTGTATATAGAATCCATGATTCATGTTGATTCACATTTAATTTTGTTAGGAAGCTGTAATGATCATGCAAAACTATTTTTTTCTTCTCCATCATGTCTTCCAAGAGTTTTATGTTATATTTTTATTCAGTTTTTATTATTTTAATTATTAAATCGAGTTGTTGTAGATTTTTTTTTTAATTGATAATTAATAATGGTTATTTTTTTTATACATGTATTGTTAATTGTTAATTTTTTATTTAACTTTTAAAATTTTAAACCATATTAACATTTTCTGATTTAATAAATATGTTGATTTGGATCAATCAGATTGAATTTACCTTTTTGTTGGACATAATTTGTTAAATTAACTTTTAATATTTTAATTATACTTAATAATTTTTTGTTTGATTTAAAAGCTGATGTGAACCAATTAAATCAAGTTTTTCTGTCCTAATCATACTTAACATTTTTTATTTAATAAATATGCTGATGTGGACCAATCAGATCGAGTTTTTAAATCTCATGTGGACGCCTTCAGTGCACTATGCCATCAACTTTTATATATTATATGATTTATATATGTAACACATGTAAACGAAGCAATGTAATTATGTAAACAAAGTTACAAAAATTGGATTAAGTGTGATGTTTTTGTTTGGGAGTAAATTATGAATTCCTTACAAGGGGTGTACGATCGTCAGGATAGAAGACTTGAGTCTCTAAATTTCATCCTCTGAAGGAATGAGCAGTATGCGCTCACATGGTGAAAGTCTGACTGGGTCTTGTATGCACTAGAAACAAGTAAGCAAAACATCTGGGAGAACCGGAAAGGGATTTACCTCCTGAAGGTTCTCCAACGCTCAAATTAGATAAAGCTCCACTAAGAATATATACTCAGGAGGATGGATATGTGATGGTGGTTATATAGTTTGAGTATCATGTCTAAAGATCGTGATACTCGTTTGTTGTTTGGTGAATGGGCCATAGAGAGAGTAATTTGGAGCTCTCTCTCGATGAGGATAAAGCAGAGGTTAAGGGGAGAAGAGAAAGCTTATCTCGATTAGCAATTCCTCCGGGAAAAGTTGAGTGTGTCCCTTTAATCCTTCTGCTAAGTCTGGACAGTCGGTTAGGTTCAGGTGTGGGCTCGACGCTTTGGCAGTTCCTTCTTTTTTGCGATTTTGCCATTCTTTACTCTCTTCTCTCATTATTAGTCTCTTGTGGCCTTATGTTCGTCTCGTGTCTTCCGCCTCTCCCTTCTCTTCCAGCCTTCATTTTCTTTTTATACTCCTTTAGTTCTGACCCATCCCATTGATGCGGTGCATGGCGGGAGCAAGTGTGTTATCGCAGCACTCCTTCGATTTGGGAAGCTAGACATCTGCCCAAGAATAGTTCGCTAGGGAGCCATAGGACAGGCTTAGACAAGAAGTTCATCATTACAACCAGACACATTGCTGATATGTCGCCTCCTGATAGGATGCAGAGAAAATGGGCCCAACAATCTCCCTTGACCTCTCGACTGCTTGGAAATAAGTTGGGGAGTCGACCCTTATGTCGTTAGAGGCTTAGAGCGATTCACTCTCGACCTTGCCACACATCCCAGAAGAGTATCGGGTCTGGTCAAAGTGAAATAAGGTTTCTGGAGTAACATTTAGAGCGATTCACCCCCGACCTTGCCACACATCCTCCAAAACAAGGTTTCCAGAGAAACAGTTAGATGAGTCCTACCCCAGGCCAGGTGTGCATCCCAGGAGAGTACACGCTTGCCCAAGATAAGAGAAAGTTAGGTTCCCAAAAGAACAGTTGATAGCCCAAGTAGGAGCATCTCCCTGGAGGGATTTTATTCCTTCCTTCGTGAAGAACTAGACAAGGAGCCGTCTTCCTTCCACATTGGCTTTATTAGGATGTTAGAGCCCTATGTGACCATGGAGATTGATATAAAACAACGACGCGGTTTGAGACATCTGCCTAAAAACCATGGATGGTGCCTTAAGAGGGAGTAAAGATTGTCCCCTTGCACAGGCCGCTAACACAAAGGGGAGTTGTCGCTTTTATACAACATGTGTGAGCCAGCTAGTGACAAAACAGGGCGTTTCCTTGAAATGTTACCCCGACTCTTTTTACTGCC